CGGGCCTGCTTGGCCTGCCGGCGACGATGGTCGGGCCCGGCCCGACCATTTCAGTTGGCGATTTACTGAAGTGCATAATCAAATAAATAGTGCGGCCGGTAAATCACTTTGCATATTTGGGTGGTAAACTAACTTACGGCGGGGGGCCTGCGGCTCTTGAGATTTGCTCCTTTCACATGACAAAAGACTGAAACGGGACAACACCGTGACTACGTCCCACCCTTCTGCTTTGCTTAAGGATAAAATAAAATGAACCCGCGCAGTTCTTAGATTGTATATTGTTTGTCAAACTGTCTTAAAACTTGACTTTTTGCCATTGCTTTCAATATATCTACCTCTAGGGCCGAAACAATAAAAGATACGGCTCATCCGAGGGTAGTTCCTGATTCAGAATGAGTTGTTTTGGGGTGGTACTTCCCCTGACATTTTACGAGTGGACGCCTCCTAGTACGTCTTTTAGTGCAACGTGATCATTTTTGCCGTACTTATTTTCGTCGGAAAAAGGCACTTTTGCGCCCACACGGTGTAAGATAGAGGCGAACGGACAAAATTTTGTCGAAAGGGCTCTACTTTCACAAGTTACCCCTTGGGAGACCATAAAAAAATATTTTTTTCCTTTTTTTTGGACCAACCCCGAAGTCTTTGCTACCCCCTTGCACCCCCTTAGCGATGGTTGCCGGGATTTGCACCAGGCGTTTCGTTGTCCATTAGTGACCCCTAAAGGGTTGGAGGGTCGCCTTCGGCGACTACTCCGATGCTGGCCCGTGTGTAAAATTCGGGCTCGGGCAGAGGGCGCCTGCGGCGCCCTTTTCCGGTTATGTTTTAGCTTGGGAAATGTGTGCCTGCGGTGCTCCTTGTAGGCTGTGTTAAAGTTATGTTTGTCTAGCAGGTGGCAGGTGGACAACAGCAGTCTGCTTATTTAATGTGCACCGGCCATCTCAGCGTCTCAGTTGCCTTCTGAAATTTTGTAATAAAGTGCCCTGAGGCCTTAGCAATTCCTTCTTCGTAACCGACCATTTCTTTGTCTTCTTTTATTGACTTTACGATTTTTTCACCAGTACTGTTAACAAGGTTCAAGAAATTTTTATTTGCCCCTTCTGTATTTGCAACTTTTGAGATGCTGGGGCCTAGGTCAATATACTCCAGCATGCAAGAGGTGCTGATAGCATTCAATTCGTCATTGAGAGTTTTCCATTTGACAAGCTTCTCTTGCATAACCTTTCTGAACTTAATATGTTCATCGATTTTCTCTAGGCGAGCTCCCAATAAATCTTTCAGAGTTGAAAGGCGTCTTTTCAGCTGACTGTAATCGGAATTTTCTTTCTTTTTTAGAATTACTTCTGCATGCATTGCTGTTAGGGTCATGGAAGTGTTCAAAGTTTCGTCAGAAAGATCAAATTCATTGAAAATATCTTGAAGTTCGTCAATTTTATCCGGTTCATCAGATTTAGGTGAGTCCTCCTGTTCTTGCTTATCAGGAATGTCAAGTTTATCAATTCCAAGCTCGTCAGACTTAAGTAAGTCATGGGCCGAGTCATGCGTGTCAGTCGCTCCTTCCAGGTTGGCCCCTTGCTGCACAGAACGCACACCTGCATCTCGGGATCAGGCGTAAGGCGAAATGCTGCGCTTCGCAACGTTGATCCAGCCTGACGAGGCCTTTTGCCCAGGGTGACTGGAGTGAGAGGAGAGGGTGGTGGCATGTTTTCAGTGTTTATTTTTTTAATCTAGTCAAGGACTGGCGATTGAATTTTAGACGGCAACTTGCATGCCACACGACCTTCCTTTTCTTTAGTGTAATTTCTACGCCCTCTCCCTCATCTAACGCCTCCAGCCTCATCCAGTCGGGCAGGCCACGGCCACCGGCCGCCGGCCGCCTTGAATTCGGAAAGCATGCCGGCCATTGTTTCATAGCCCTTGTGACACATGGGGACGATGGGATTACTTGCCGAGCATACCAAGGGGCCGGATCCGCCCCCTCTGCACAGGATGCAGGCCTTCCAGTTGACGGAGGGGGCAGCGGGGGACAGCACAGGAGAGCCCAGGTCCTACGTTGGCTCCGAAAAAAACAAGCGTAACTCCGCCAGTGCCGGAGAACAAGAGTAACTGGCACCAGCGCGGAGAACTCGAGTAACGCCTGGCTATTTAGATAGGGAGTTACTCGAGTTCTCCGCGCTGCTGCCAGTTACTCTTGTTCTTCTGCTCTGTCAGAGTTACGCTTGTTTTTTAGCCCGCCCTTCTGCTTTGAAAAAGCTATCCAGCGGGCTTATGCAAACGACCTCGTG